TCTATCTATCTATCTATCTATCTATTTATCTATCTATCTATCTATCGGACACCAGCGACCCCGTGACCCAAAATGGAAGAAGCGGGTAAAAGATAATGGATGAATGGATGGTTAAAAGTGCATTTTCTTTTATGAGATTACACAGTAGCAAAAAAAAAAGAAGAGATTTTCGTAAATTTTTGTAAAAAAAAAAAAAAAAAAAGATTTTTTTTTTTTTTTCCAAAAATAGTTTTTTTTAATTCCACATTTCAATTTCTAGAAGTTGACAGTGGTATACAATCTAAAAGTGACAATGTTCAGCAAATTTCATCTTTAATTTGCTGCTCATGCAATAAACTTTTGTTTTCTTTCAGTTTTTATTTTTGCTTTAAGAAAGTGCAACGGGCAACAATGTCTAAAACATTAATATTTCCCATACTCTGTTTTCTTCATACTAATCCAGACATGAAAAAAAATAAAAAAATAAAATAAATCCTAAACATTTCCATGCTTTCCAACACTGCACAAGATCTCTGTAAGTCTTTAGTTTTGTGTCAAGGCCACAATATTCCACTTGGATAAAAGTCTTTCTTAGGCTCTTTAGACATTTTTAAATGCTGTAGTATCCAGCAACATTGGAAAAGCACACATAAAACACATTTTCTTTTACTAAAGGTTTATTTATCATTAAGCTATATTTCTATAAGAATGTAACGTGTAATCAGTCAAAGAATGGAAAGAAATGTAAACCACATTTTCTCCAGACCGAAGCTTTCAACTATTTGAATAGTTGTTAATGTTGTCAAAGTAGTTTTATTTACTTTGCTTAATCTCACAAACTGAAACAGAACTTTTACTTGTCTCATAAATTACAAAAGTTTCCAACACAATTTGATGATTTAAATGACAAAAAAAAAAAAAAAAAGCAGAAAATGAAAAAATGGGCAGGCAATTTTGTAAATGAGTCCTCGAGGCTCAATGGGATTTACCTGTCTAAATAAAGGTTGAATGAAATATATAATTTGTTACCAAAGAAATTGGGGAAATTACAGTAATAAAGTAATCTTAATAACAACTGTTTCATGTTCATTGTACAGAACATCCAGCAATGTTCAATTAGGTCATCTGGACAGTTTTTTTGTTTTTGTTTTGTTTTGTTTTGTCCTCCATCCGAAGGGCTTCTTCAATCTGAGGAGTCCCAAACAAACTGTTTTCCCCACTAAGCAGTACACTCCTACAGTGGACCAACCAGTTTGCTGGTGATAAGATGGTTTCTGGGGGCTGTCCTCTCCCTCGTCGACTTCTCTCAAGCTGCCTCAGCCAAAGTGGTTCAAGGCATCAAGGTTCATGCTCAATAATTCAGATAAAACATTGAACAATGAATGTTCAATCAGGTTTCACTGTCAGAAGAAGCCATCTTATCACCAGCAAACTGGTTGGTTCACTGTAGGAGTGGACTGCTTAGTGGGGAAAACAGTTTGTTTGGGACTCCTCAGACTGACGAAGTCCTTTGGATGAAGGATGAAACATCTCAATTAAAAAAAAAAAAAAGAAACTGTCCAGATGACCTGATTGAGCATTGTTGGATGATTTACCTGGATTATTGAGCATGCACCTTGATGTACAGAACATGGGTGCATTTTTTATTCTGCATCTTCAAAACTCAAACAGCCCCTTTTTGTTTCAGCTTCAACAGGAAGTTGCTCAGGTTTATTTAAAGAGAGACACCAGCTAACTCTAAAGAATGTGAGATGAGCCATAGGAGAAAAAAGAAAGGCTTCTTGAATCATTGATTTGAGGGCTTCTTCAATTTTTCTATACGTTTGTTAGAATTTAGGATTTCTGGATTTGGTTTTGAGCAGCACGGTGGTGCAATTGGTAGAGCTGCCACCTCTCAGTGAGACGGTTACCGGATCAAATCCCAGCTGGGGACCTTTCTGGGTGAAGTTTGCATGTTCTCTTCGTGCATGTGTGGATTTCTCCGGGTACTCCAATTTCCTCCCACAGACCAAAAACCTGCATGTTAGACTGACTGGTAACTCTAAATTGTCCCTAGGTGTGAGTGAGAGAGTGAATGTTTGTTTGTCTCGTTTGTCTCTATGTGTCCCTATGATGGACTGGAGACCTGTCCAGGTTGTCCCCCGCCCCTCGCACAGTGATTGCTGGACATAGGCACCAGCGACCCCTGCAACCCGAAAAGGAAGAAGCAAGTAAACATTAATGGATGGATTTGTTTTGCTGTTTTGTTCCTTTCAGTTTAGCTGGTCTTATTAAAGAAGACTGTATTTAATCACTTTCTGTCTGCTGAGTCCTGTATATCTGTGTTTGGGATTTTTAACCACAAAGTTCTCCATTTATTTCACCTTATTACATGATCAAACCAATTAAAGTGAAAGTTTGAATCTTTTGAAATTAGATAAATGTTGTCCTGGTGTGTCATTTTGACCCAAGGGCAGCAGCAGGGTTATTTCTCCTGCAGCAGTCAGAAGTCATATTTCTGACTGGATAATCTAATCATGGCTGAGAACAAAGTGGATTGCTGTCATTTTGAAACAACTCCACTCACAAAAATTTATTTGTGATTCATGTAAATGAAGTTTTACATAAAGATATTTACATACACTTTTGTGGTTATTTGCATGTGTAAATAGAAGCTGAACTTAGCTGTAGCACTATAGGTGCATGCTGGGACACTTCCAGCAGAAATATATTACTACCGAGTGAAATTGACTGCAATATACATGTTTTTTAAAAAGTGTTCTTTTCTATAAAATTTAAGATTAAAGTTGAAGTGTCAGCAATCCCAATGTTGGCCTTGCTCAAATTAGCTTGTCAGTCTGGTCAGAATGGCACTCTATTTTTACAAACTGAGGTCATTTTAAAAGACTATAACCTCTCCACAACCCCAGCACACTTTAAACGATCTGCAATATTCCTTTAAAAAATGTGATTAAACCTTCCTTGACCCGCCAAGACATAGAAACTTTTCAGTGCCACTGAAAGTCTAAAAGCAAGTATTTTACAGTAAATAGAATTTTTCTTATTTGTGTCATAAATTGTAATTTTTTAATATTGAAATTCTGGCAACCACAGGTGCAGAAAAATGAGTTTATTATTATTGTATTTTTACTTAAAACTGTTATGAGATTTCTGTTATTTCAAGTTCAACGTTTCCCCTACCATTGTACAAGCGGGGCGCCCCGCCCCGTCAACAGAATCGAGCGCCCCATCTACCAAACCCCACCCCCAGATCCCAACCACCTGTCGGCACTGACGTAACGCTAAACTAGCGGCTCGCAATGCAGGTGTGCTAGCTAAAAAGCTAAAGGTAGCCTCTTCCCTCATGCTGAACTCTCACGTTGAACGCACACCCGCCACTCGAAAACTGTCGGCTCTATCCTTCCTGATGGAATTCCTTGGTAATTTAAAATTCAAAGAGATTGTTTTGGCAGGAGATTTCAACATTGACTGGGATAAGTCGACCCCCCTCTGTGATAAATTCAAGGAATGTTGCCTGTCTCTCAATTTAACCCAACTGATCGACTCTCCCACTAGATCAAACAAAAACCGTCCTGAAAATCCTCCATCTCAGACCTGTTTCCAACAAATATGCCTCACAAATTCCCTGGTACAGGTGTATTCGCTAACATTTTGAGTGATCACTGCGTGACAGCAACTCTGAGAGATATTAAACTTCCACCTTCTAAGCCCAGATTAATTCAAAAAAGGGATCTGAAACATTTTTGTGAACAGTCATTCCTCTGGGATCTGTCTCACTTTGACTGGCATTGCATT